TCTTTCACCTATTTCATCAATTAACATAGAGAAAGAGAGAGAAGTTGATTGGTTTGTGAGAGACAATGAAAATGTATAGAAGATTTAGGAGGCACAACTATTTCTATATTCATTGCATTGTTTTCTTTTTGTACGAAACAAATGGCTATTGATTTGGTAAGGCATCAAACACACTAGAGAAATGAATCAAATTTTATTTTGTTTTAATTCTATGTTCTGACATAAATAACAGCTAACACGCTAATTTAAATTCAGAATATCCTATATAATGTAGTGAAAATCAATGAATACATTATATTTCTGAGCATTAAAAGATTTTATTATTTTATACTTGTCTAGAAATGCTTTAGAAACTCATAATCTAGAAAAGACTAAAATAATTTAGTGTGCTCATTTTGCACGTATAGCTAAAAAAAGGAAAAAAAAAGTGTTATGCATGTTGAAATTTTTCATAATTGTATGATTTAGTATATTCATCTATATTTATATTTAGATTGATGCTTGTCAACATGAAATTGATCGATTAACAACGCGAATAAATTTATTAACGCAGTTATATAGGTCTGATCAAATAAGCAATGAAGAAACAATTGAATTAGGACAAAGTGTTGCACAAAAATATTTTATGGAACTTGAATTAGATAAATTAAATGCCGGTAAACCCATTTTCAGTTATCCTCACGGACTCTCACCTTGTTTATTTTAGAAAATAATCGTCGTAATCAAGGAAACCAAGCAACAGGCAGTGGTTAAAGACATTTTATTTTTTTGTTATTAACATGTTCGTCTTGTTTTATTTGTTCGTTGTTTTGCAACATTAGTTAGTTCAATCATTGAACCTGAATGATTGCAAATAAAAGATAAAAAAAATTTGATCTTGAAACTGCTTATTTGACTCATTTAAAATTACAACCAAAACATAAAATAATGACATTAAAATCTGCGCTTAATCAAGCATTTAAATAAAAAAATTATAAAATAGCAACAAGTTTTGCTAAACGTTTATTAGAATTCGGACCAAAATTTGGTGTTGCTCAACAGGTTTTTATTTTCTTATTTATTGTTATTTCTCATAAAATTGATTTGAAAACTTTTAAAATCAAATTGAGAGATCAGTTCATCATAAATGAATGTTTAGAATCATTTAATATAATTAAAACAAATGAGAAAATTTTCTATTCATAAAATTTCTTTTTTTGACAAAGAATATTTTATCAATTAAAAAATGATTTAAAAAGTTTTTGTGTTGCTTAGACACGAATAGTAGGAAGTGTTTGTGAAAAAAATCCAGTTGATGAACATCCATTAAATTATGATGAATATAATCCATTTGATATATGTGCTGCATCTTATGTCCTAATTTATCGATATAATATTTGAAAATTAAAAAAGAAATATTTTAAATTTTCGTTTTATTTTAATTTTAATGGAAATCCATTAGTAAAATGTCCATTATCTGGTGCAGTTTATTTACCAAAATTTAAAGGATAATTATGTCGTGTTACAAAAGTAACAGATATTGAAAAAGAATCTCTTGGTCTTACGTTCGGATTTCAATAAGTCAATTTCTTTAAAGAAAACGAAAACGAACGTTTTTTTTTCAAAATTTAATTTCATTCTTATTCACTTTTAATGGAATATATTTATCATTTTAAAAAGATTAAATTATCATTTGAACGTTTTTCTTTTCGACATATCTCGATTGTTGTTCCAATTGCTGCTATTCCTATTCTTGTTATTGTTCATTATTCGTTTTATTCATTGACAACAAAATTAACTTCAAATGTTAAATTATCATCATTAAGTTTAATTAAAATCTTTCTTTCTTTTTTTTCTATTATATAAAAATTCTAAAAGATCAATTTCTTCTCAAAGATAAACCATCATACAAGTTTGATTTAGTAAATATTATTTAAAACAAAAATCTAAAATTATTAAAACAAATTTGGTTCATATTAATACAAAAGTCTTGATCTATATAATAATATAAATAAAAATAATATTCTTATCAATTTGTCATCTCTTAAATTAAAAAAATGAGTTTATATAAAAATAAATTGATATCAACTAAAATATTTAATATTTAAAACCGCAGCAAAACAAAAACTATATTTATCAATATATTAAATCAAATATAAATTATCTATTGATAAAAAATTGAAACGCAATAAACGTATTATTGATAATTAAAACAAATAATTTATTTAGACTTGAAAAAAATTATTTCTCAAGATAATTAGAACAAAATTTTCTTTGTTCTAAAAAACAAAACAAATTAATATTATTAAATAAGAAATAATTATTCATTAAAAAATTGTTATTTTATTTAATATTTAATTTGCTTTCTATAGATAAAGTTAAAAGTAAAATTGAAACTCAAGTGAAAAATAACGATGATGATGATTTTCCATTCATTGGTTTATTTTCTCCTATTGAAAAAATGTTTAACAATTTTGATCGATATTTTCCGGTTTTCTATCAATATTTTCAATTCCTTCACAAGATTTCAACCATGAACATCAGTCACAATCATCAAAAAGTTTAAAAGATGAAGTTCTTAAACAAAATTTTCAAATTAAAACAGAAAAAAAACATGTTTTTTGCATTTGTTGTTGTTGTTTCCATGTAAAAAAAATCGGGAAAAACTCGGATTAAAATCGACTTTTCTAAAATAATTACCAAAAACAGATTAAACCGAACATTTTTTGATTAAACTTGATAAAATAATCGATTTTTTCAGTGAAAATCAATTAAAAACAATTTTATTTCAAGAAATCAGAAAATAATCGATGAAAGCTAATTTATATTTCAAATGGATTAACTGAAAATGGTTACCTATCACATTGCTAAACAGTTATATTATCAAGATTAATCTACGCTTTCTTTTCGCTGAGACGAACTGGTCGATAATCAGTATTAATATTCAATAAACTTAGCAAATGTTAATCAGCGACTCACCTAGGTGGTGAATGGTAGTACTAGTTGTAGTTGTTGTTATTGTTATTGTTGTCGTTGAAATATTCGTCACTATAAATTGTAAAACAGAATTTGTATAAATTACACGCATAGTTTTAAATTCTCGAAGGGATATAATCAAGAAGTCTGTATACTTCAATTTCTAAAATGGCTCGTATGAGACTATTTGAGTATGAATGAAATAAAATTAAGCAGAGGTGTAAAACAATAGCATGGTCCATAGAGAAAAATTGTTGTAAGATTTTTCCATCGTACCACTTTCGCCAAAGAATTTAATTTTTCGCAGCATCCATTTACAAAGAAAATTTTAAAAAGTATTCAGACACAGTCTGCAGTTATTATTGTAATCTGAGATAGATGAGTAATGATCTTTTACATAAATTGTCAAAACGATGGCAATATAAACAAGAATAACTAATTGTCAATATCCTATATGTCATATTTAATCTTCGATAAACTATGGAGTTTTAGTCGTGAGCTTACTATGACTTCATATAAATCTTCAGTTTTATATGCAAAGCTAATAAAGTCACGAGTAAGACACTTGTACATAAAAATACGTGTCATTTCAAACAATATGTCAATTATAGTTATTTTGAATTCATAAGAAGTGTAATATAATTTCATGCATCTTTTAAAACTAAATTTCTCTGATGTACATTCCAAGATCTACTGTGTTTTCCTATACTGATGGATATAAGCATTGACGACTTTCTCAAGAGAAAAAAAGAAATCTTTCTCTTTAACATTTAGAATTTATGGTGTCTCTCTCCTACTCTAGCTAATTTTCTTCGAGATTGTTGAACTTGTTTCTAGCGTTTCTACAGCAAAATGAATCGTGTACATGGATGATCATAACCGCTGAAGAGATAGTTTTAAAAAAAGTGGAAACTTTGGATTTCACCCGAAAGCTTTGTGTACTGCAAAACGTGCATGAGGCAGATGAGTCATTCTAGAATGCCTGAATACAAAAATATCATGACAAATTAGGCAATTTGATTTCTGGATACAGTTTTTGTGCATTTTGAAACCTTTTTCAGGCGATGTTTTGCTAGAAGGCTACAATTTAGTTCAAAACTAATATCAGATTCGGAATTAGCATTAAAAACTGAGTCGATTTGTATAAGTTGTGAATAATTCTGAGAAAAAACTTTGGGTGTGGGTGTGGGTGCGGCTGAATGGTCTAACTCATGACAACCACACCCACACCCAAATGAATGTTTTACTCCGATTGGTTATAAATTTCTTGTATCACTCTGTACAAATTTTAAAGATAATTCTTATTTTCAATTGAGATCAACAATGAGCAATGATGAGACACATCATCGTATGGTTGCGTTAAATATTGTTGCTCTTCTTATCTCGTCCAAAGGTCTCGGGCGAAATTCTTATTTGGGTAATCTTCTCTTTAATAGTGACCAGAAAATGCCGGAAAATTACACTGAACATGTGCAGATGAAGATATGTTGGTCGGCCTTCCTCCCTGGAGATCCATTTATTACACAAATGCTTGATGTACGTGCACAAGTTACCCTACGCTTGCCAAAAATATCTCCACCGAAACGTTTCATTTATCAGTGTTCACATGATTGCCCTGGATATTCTATTTTGAAGATTGTGGTGATCCGAATGATCATCGTTTATGTCCAATGTGCCACAAAGACATTGGTGCTATACAAGATGGTGTTCTTATCGAGCGTGATCCACCTCAGCTTAAAATTCCGATCAATGGTGGTTTTCAATTTATTACTAGATATATTGAAGATTATAACCGAAAAGTCTGCTTCGGTTATCACTATCGAACACCGGCCGAACAGAGTAATGTAGGTGATAAGCCTGATCATCTTCAACACTCAATATCCTATCGTTTTATTCACATGTTCATTCATGCGACACTTCTTTTCTTAGATGAATTAGACTATTTATCCGAAATCGATCTGCCTAAACCTGAACACTTTCGAGAACATTTTGAAAAAGATTATGCTCTTCTTGCTGAACAAGTGAATGATGACGAACACTGCTATCTCTGGTTATTCAAATTATTTAATCATTTGCTAGATGAACAATTTATTCAGGAGGGTTTATTGGACAATCATGAGAAAGTTGTACAATTCGAAAAGTGTCTTGAAAAACAGCTCCTTTTTACTCATATGAATTCGATTGCCGAAGAAATTCGTCAATGCAGAGTTGCCTATATAGATTTTGTCCGACAGTGTGATGAGAAATTTTCTATGAAAAGATATGTTGATGAACTCGAAGAGAACGAGCAGCGATTTCCATTGCTACGCTATTTCAATGTCACAAATATTCATACAGTCGATCCGATGAATGAATTTTCTTCAAAAATTCGAATGTTACCCTATGGTAATAAGACCTATCCAATGACCACGTTTTTATTGCAAAAAATGGATAATTATGCCAATATCCGATATCTTTATCCTATTGTTGCATTTACTTGTCATTTAACACAAAAATTCGACTATCGTATTAAACGAAATGATGCATTGATAAAAACGATCTCTGAGTATTTAAATCAAGGATCAGATAGTGAAATCACAACAGAACTCTATAATAAATTTGTTGATGCTTGGTACAAAATTACACTGAAAGATGTTCAATATGGATGCCATAGACTGAAACTCGAACATAATATTTCACAAGATGAATTCGCACAAAATACGAAACTCGCCATGGTATTATTGAACACAACGAAAGATGAAAGTGGCATTTTGTTAACTGTTTGCTTGAATATCATTGGAGAATTACAAAATGAGATCGTGCGTTTCTTTCATGAAACAGTTATTGGTAATTCGGGTAATTCTCGACGTCAACGAGCAATTCCCATTCAATCTATTCGAGCTGAACATCTTCTCAATCTTACGGCAAATGATATTAGTTTGAAATTGATTACCGATGGCTTTACGATTAACTATGAATATGATATGGGTAAAGATATTATTTATGATTATGAAGAAGTTGAATTGACTTTATGTAACATAATTAGTCGTTTGCCTTTGATAAATACTGAAAAAATTAATTATTTCAATTATCAATTTGAGTTATATGGAGAAAATACATCATTAATTAATGAGGTCCGAGCACGAGTCAAGCAAGAATTACTAATTGATGATGAACGGACAAAGCTTCGAGGATATATTTCAGAAATGAGTAATGAAGGCATTCTTCACTATCTTGGTTCACTTGATTATGTCTTCACTTATTTGAGTACTATTGCCGATGACTTCGGGCAAGATCCATCGAGTATTCAGGTATTCGTTCAAAATTACATTAGTTCGACCGCATGCCTCAACGAAAATGTTCTACGACGGCAGCCATTTTCCATAATTAATCTCAAGTATATTATCGACTTGTATGAACTATTAGAAGAAAGAGCATTCGATCAAGTTTTACGTCCGTATTTTAAACAAGAATTATGTGAAGAAACATTTCCTCCAAACGAAAGAACACGCCTAATTGAGGAATTTATCGATTCGACTTCGAACAATAAAAAAAGTGCCGCATGTTTTCAAAACTTGAACTGTTGGATTGCAATTCTCAAACGTATCATGGTGCGAGTACTCTCCAATGTAAGTGTACATCTCGATGTGCCGTTAAATCTCTATCTTAGACGTCATGATCTGTGGACAGGCGATATCACTTTCGCCGATATACAATCAATTACAGTTAGCGATGATATTCTTTTGAAACATACGTTCGTCATTCTGAAAGGCTTAGAAATGCGACAAGATTACCTACGGACTCGTACGACTCAAACGGAAATGGATCTACAGAAAACAGGTGCGACTGAACTGCAAACATCTCAAGGACAAATACACCAAGCAACCACATGGCATGTAACAGATACCAAGAGTGGCAACGTACCTAAAGTGATTGGAGCAAGAAAAGGCGCTGACAAGAAACTACGTTAGATTTCATGACAACAGATATGCTATACGTGTTGAGAATCAGAACACCTTTTGAAACAAAATGAATACGAATTGATTTGACAAGTTTTATATCTTGAGATGGAAGAGATAAATAAATTGAATTCGCTTAATCAGTTGTGTTTCTCCTGATTCTTTTAATAAACAAGTAGTGTGAGGGTGTGGGTGCGAATGTGACTAGGGTGTGGGGTGTGGGTGTGGGTCTAGACTGAATAAAAAGTAGAACACCCACACCCAAACCCTCAACTTGACCAATAGGATTAAAGGACTCCAAATTGACTACGATAATTGAAGAATTGTAAATCGACCAATGGTTAAGCAGGAGAGGGTGTGGGTGTGGGTAAGAGAAAGATTGACATTCACACTCACACCCACACCCTCAATTTTATCGATAAATTAATATTTGAACAGAATTCACGCAAACATCACTCAAGTCCATATCGGTGAAGCAGATATTAAATATAGATCTATGTAATAGTGATAGCTTCAATTTTTTTGTGCTTTCTTTACTCACCTAATTAGCAAATTTATTTTGAAAATAAAAATAATTTTGTTGTTGCTACTTCTTTATGCTAACATTACTTTTCATAATACGAAAATGAACTTCTTGTATTATGCGTAACTTTCATAGACCCTGTTGGAATATATCCTTGTTGTTCATACACGTCTGTTCTGTCTCATTTATATGATGTTAATAATTGTTTCATCGAAAGAAGGTGTATTTGATACGCTGAGAAATCTAGGTGATGGGTAACAGGGCTCAAAATTGGCCCACCTTTTGCTGGTACGACTTCATCGACAAGTGCAAAAAATTTCTTGTTATCAAAATTTATGTGATAACAAGGAAGGTTTTTAGTTAAATTTTCAATCACTAAACACAATATGATAATCATGAAATTGCTGAAAGCAGCAGTTATTCATAAATAGTTTAAAAAAAATTATATCATGTTAACTAAGTGACACCTCTTGGTGCTTCTAGAAAAAAAATAGTGTTCAATTTCTTGTCGGGCGGCCCGACTTAAATATTTGTCCGGCCTGGTCCAGAAAATTTTTTCATGAAGCCCACCCGGCCCGACTAAAATAATTACTCAGACCAGGCTGATCCATCGGGCCGCGTGATCCGCTTCGAGGCCTGATGCTAACTTAATGATGATGTAACACCTGTTTACGAGAATAATTCTTTCCCCGAAAAAATAAATAGAAGCATATTTGATCCGTGAAACGCTTCATTTTAGTTGCATTTGATGTGCTGCCTTTTTTTAGCGCTCGAAACGCCGTAGTAATAAGTATTTTTGATTATACCGAGACTCAAGTAATTTTCATATAGTCATGCCTGAATGCACATGTATTTTGCAAATGGAAATCGTATATTGTATTTTCTGACATATGACGCGTGAATACTTTTCTAAGGTGAATATTTTTTCAAAATCTTGACACTGATAGTTTGAAACTATACTGATGAAGGCAAAATTCTTGGTTTTCCCATAGAAAGAAGAACTCTTCTGTATGACACATCATTCAATCGTTATAAACAAATACATGATCTTGATTCGATAAATATTGATACTAATTATTCTTCGATTTTAAGATCAATCTCGATGAATTTGCATTGATATTGATGTTCAATAGCCTATTGAAAAAAAGAAAAAACTTTATGTAAATTTAGAATATAAAAGCTTATCATACGATAAAAAGACAAAATGATTAATATCCATCGTAGTTGTTATATATTAAAAAAAAATAACTTTCATTATATAAAGAAAAATTGTTGCTATCTTAGTGTAGAAATTTAAATATCTTTCAATACAATATTTGCAAATCGGTATCTATTTTTTATTCAACTAGAATTTCTTCAACATCCGATGGGGTATCATTGGATAATTATTGTAGGTCTCATTGAATTATGAAACGTTTCTTTTAAATAGTAAAAAGCATCTTTTCATGAATTGTGTTTTTTTTAAATTTATTTATGATCCTTTTTCATCGCTTTTTTCTCTTTTCTTGTGGTGTAATTATATTGTAACCGTTCAGCGTATGAGTGACTCATTGAATAGACACACCAGAAACAGAGGTGTTGTCGTTAACAACAGGAAAAACAAACGATGATGCTCAATCATCTGCTCTGTTTAAATGAATAAGTAGTAAATGGAGCTTTCCAAACGCGTTCATGAATCATGGGAAAAAAACTAGTGTTTTCTCTTGAAAACAAGGAGGTTTACTATAAAAAGATTAGATTCATGAAGAAACAGTACACAATACAACTTTTGACTAAACTACTGTTTAACATAAAATGGTGAAACAAACGAGTCTGGATTTAATGGAAGTCCTTCCAAATTTCGATCTTACAACAGAGGAATCGAGATATGATGCTGGAATTCTCTTCTCACCTACGAATGACCCCTCAATTAGAACGTCTTGGTCGTGCTCCTCTAACCATGATGATCTCAAGGAACACGAAAGTGAGCAACAATACGAAACAATGGGCACTACGGATCACGACTTGCTACAAACGTATCGCATGGATTTGGGTACTATTCCTGGCAGTACTATTCCTGGCAATGAAGCTAAAAAATTTAATCTAGATGAAATTCGATCGACTCATACAGAATTAATGAACATGGTTGAAATATTTTTGACTCAAATCGGCATAAAATTCCAAGCTCTGAAAAAAGATAATTTCTCCTGCACTAGTGAATGGGGTACTGAACCCTACGGATCATTTCTTATTACTTGTACACGTACGATGATTTGTGGATTGTGCGCTTTATTCGGTAAGACATTTTGTCAAGATGCTGTTGGTGTATGTTCATCTTATACAGTTGATGGCGATCCTCCGCATACCTGTTTTCTTATTACAACACATGATGGGTCAGAAATTAATTTTGATGATGCTCTTAAAATAACAAATATAATCTGCAGTAGCTTTCCAAAATTGTCAAGTCAACGAGACGAAACTGGCCGATATATGGAGTTTCATGATTACTGCAATGAATGTCCATCAATAACCAATGGTGATTTATTTCAGCTATTGCGACAGAACATATCTAAAAATATTTCATATCAGGTCAAGAAATACGATGTTAAAAGCTTTCAAATCAAGAACAACGATTATATTACAGCTATAGAAAACACTAAGTTAAAACAATTTGAAATACTTTTACAAATGAACCAATTACATATGAAGTCATATAATGAGAATTTCTTGTTGTGTAGCAAAGTAGCTATCAAAACCGTTAAACATTCTTGGGTATGACATGCACAACGTATTTCCTCTCGTGTTTTCACAATAGTCAGAGAAATTTAAACAATAGAAAAAAAGTCAATTTTTTTTTATAATTTTGCTTGCTTTAGTCTATTTTCTGTGTTATTAAAACAATCATTTTCGGTCATTTTAAGACATTGTTAAAGAATAAATAAAAATAGAAATATTAAGTGTTACAATTATTTGGGTGTGGGTGTGTCTATTTCATCAAATGAATACCACCTCCACCCCCACCCCCACCCCAGCCATACCTATACCCACACGGACACCCCACACCCTGATTTGAATTCATCAGTAAGAAAAATATTCTTTCATTTTTTCGTGGAGATTTAACTTAGTAAATTTAATCTTCATCTATGAAAGGGAGTAATATGAAAGTTTTCAAGGGAAAGCAGAGATTAGACGGATTCGCTTCGGTTTAATAAAAGAGCGAAGTGATTCCACGTTTGAGCGACGTTATTATAATGGATGAGACAAACTAGTATTGAATTAAATGAACACCAGAACAATTTATGAATGTTAGACGATGTTGTTTAATTCGGTACAATTCAAAGCTGAACTTCCGTATGATAAAGCATTGGAAACTTCTTATCCACCATTTCTCTTTGAGTTTTTCATAGAAAATATTTTTGAAATTTGATGTCATCAACAATTTTTTCTTTTCTTTTAGTCGAGTTCGGAACAACAACAAGTGAATATAAATCCAATTAAAAATATTCCAAAGTTTATTTGTAGTGAACGCGCATTTTTTAACACGAAAGCTAATACATTAGATCAAACATACAAATATGTTCATGATGGTATAACTTGGCGGGTCCCCTTACCTGATATTTCAAGTGAAATAATTATTTGCTCATTATTATCCTTACGTTCATTAATTGTTCGAATTGGAATATTATACTTACATCCCCAGGTCGGATAAAACGGTCGTAAGCGACGATAATACGGCAAAATACGGTGGTCGTAGACGATCTTGATACGGTGAAATACGATAGTATTCACGATGATCGTATACGAAGCACCGCAAATGGCATCGCAACGGGCGTCGAAATGGTACGTATTTTGTCGTATCTGTAGAATGTTGTCAGTAGACGCAAAAAAACACAGTTCAACGGCAATAACGTTGTTCCTTAATTTCTGCATGAAAACTACCAAAAAAAATCTATATTTCCTAAGAAATCGACTGCAATAACAATATAACATAAATCCTGGATTGTGGCGCCCCTATAGAAAATGGGTTCAATATGAAAATTTGCTTCTAATAAGATTTTGGTACGGTTTGAAACACACTCTACAGGGTTTTACGGAGTTTTAATCGATTTTTTATTTTCCCTTTTTCTATTGATCCGTTCGAA